TTTTTTTTTTTTTTTTTTTTATTGCGACTCGACAAAATGACTGCACCGCGCCTGATGGAAAGTGCGAATACAGTCCAGAGATGAGAGTAACGGATGGAAAACACAAATATCTTCACTCCGTCACTATCATTTTGCCGGTCAGGCCAAATGCACTGGATGTACACCAACTGATCCCTGAACGCGATTCGCAAAAGCGTTTCACTGTGGAGGGTTTTCCGCCGTGTGTACTGTGGTCGCTATCCAGTCGGCACAGAGCCTACCACAATGCTAAGCAGATGGACACTTGTGACGCCCTCGGTCGCCTCTTACGACCCCCACGGGCATGTATGGGGAGGCGACAATGTATTCTTAAGCCGTCGCCCCACGGCTAAAAAATATTTTATCTGCTAACGGGCTGCCGTGACGGCGAGTAGCGCTCCCGTTTAATAAGACTTATCTGCTTGCAGTTCGTTTATTAACCCGGAGAGCATAAGGAGTCATCTCTCTCTACACAGGGTTATATTTTAATTACTCGAGATCTGTTAACGTTTCATTCCTATCATTTAAACAAACAGCTTTTGTTCCACGACGTTTCAAATGGGGTAACTCAACATTTATAAAAGTTGCTGCTTGCGGCTGCAGTAGCTACCTTAAAATTAAATAAATTTTTTTTAGTGGAAGATCAGTTTATAGCAGCAGCATCTTGTAGTAATAGAACCCCTTGTGAAAGAGTTCGTCCGGGGAAGTACTGCCACCTTACCTATTTCTGCCGCCGAGCAGTAATGTGAGCATAACAGCAGTAATGGGCACATGGGACTTGCCAACTAATATCTCAGGGTGACGGGAGCAGTGGCAGTGTTCCTTAGATCTTTGTGATTTAAACCTCTAAGTGGCCATGCAATTGTCATGGACAGGCGTGTCGCTTACTTGGTACTTGGTACTATAAAAAAAATAATTATAAAATAAAATTTTTGTTGTACTAAATTAAACATTTTGGTATTATTCAGTTGTTTTCGTTTAGCCTGTACATATTTTCCAATTCGATTTGAAGTATAACAAGAACAATGCCGAAATTCGTGTAGCTTTTGAATAATAGTTCCGATGTGATACAAATGCGTATACAAATACTAGATAGTAACGCAATATGCGTTTGCCGGACGGACGAATAAGCTCGTTGAGAGCTATTGTTGAGGCCAATCCATTGTAATCTATCCACAATTCAATTTCATTTGCGTTAAACCCTTTAAAAATGGACACCTTAATAAATTTTATAAACAACATTATTCACTAGAATAACACAATTTTTCATTGACATTAACATGATTCTTATGATTTGAGATCCTATCATTGTTTTGATGAAAAAGGGACAGGGTAAGTGTCTAAAAAAAGAACCTTATCCACAGAAAATTGTTGGTGATTCACCAGCGAAGTAATCTGCCATAGTTTCATGACAGCTAATCGCTAATGTCATAATTCTAGAAGATATAATCGAAGCAAGTAACTCCCGCCTCTTCGGTGCATAAATGCCACTTGCAATAGATTGTAAACATAATTTGAAAAAATTAAGGTGTTCATTAATTCAAGTATTTGCATTCTCGTGCTATATTGAAATAGCCTATTTTTAAATGCCGTAGTGTATTACGTATTGATAATATTTTTATACTATCATCGCGGATTGATATCTTGATTATGGAGTAGGATTGTGAATCAGAAATGAAATGCTGAATATTTGAGGCATTCTTGTTCAAACTAGGGTTGTTGTTGCGAATATTAGAATCCGCATATGCGCATAATCTGCATAAATAAAAGCATCAGATCGATCGATACTAATATTAATTGCCGATATCTAAGCCTTGACATTACCTAAAAGACACGCTGGAATAATTTACAAACCTTCCAGAAACAAACTGTAAGCCGAAAAAGCCACTCAGCTGTTGTTGTTACCATATAATTTTGATAAAATTCCACAACGATTACGCTAGGCAGATTGATTATTTTCATGAAAATTGTTGTGAATGAGCTACCAAATACCAGCATGACCCACTTGACTCCATTCAACGTAGGGTTGTTCGTATTGTCGATGACCCCAAACTCACAGACGGTATGGAGCTCCTTAGCCTACGGAGAGATGTTGGCTCTCTGTGTATATTCTACCGTCTTAGTAATAGGGAGTGCTCTACGGCACTTTTCAAAATGGTGCCACCGTCTCGTTTCTACGATCGCACTTCTCACCAAAAGAGTAGAGGAAATCCCCACATCTTAGATGTCTGGCATTGTAAGACGACGCGGGCATCTCGTTCGTTCCTTCCTTGAACGCGCACTATGTGGAATGATCTTCCTCCAGAAGTGTTTCCTATGCGCTATGGGGTTCTTCAAAAAGAGTGTTTACAGGGCTCTCAAAGACTGGCAACGCATGGGCAGCTCATCTGATGTTGCAAATGTCCATGGGCGACGATGACTACCTCCCGTCAAAAAGCTCGTCTGTTCGTTTGATTTTTCATGTAGATAGGGTCAGCAAAAGATGTACACTTTTCGCGTTTTTTAAAAATATTTAAAATCCGTATCCTCCGATGTGTAAAAACTTGCACCATCAACAACTCTGTCTCAAGCTATCACAAACACGTCTTTTTTAAATATCGAGCAATCATTTTAATTCTATAATTCAAAGCACTTCGCCATACTCCATGATGGTCTATCTTGGCCCTTACCAGCATTTTCCTGCATTTTGGTTTGAATGAAGTAGACGAAAATGAATTGCAATTCTTTGTGGACTCCTGTTCCCTTCTATTCCACCGCAATGGAGTAAATAAGCTTCCAATAAGATGATGAGTTATCGGTGAACATACGAGTATGTTGGTTGCGTCATCTTTATATTTATTTAGAATTGTCAAAGGCTGCCTCAAAAATCCTGAGCAAGTTATTCTGTTTTTTGTGAATAAAGAGAAACACGAGTGATTCCAAAAATAATCCTCAAAAAGGGGAATAAAGCTCTGAAACTCCGCTTAAAAACTGATGCCTGTGAAGTGTATGCGCGTGTGGATACAAAAGCTGTGTCGTACTTTTTAAAACTTCAATGCAGGATGAGGCGCCTTGCCTTCACAAGATATTCATTTATGTCATAACCCCTTTATGTTGTTTGCTTAAACAATTTATTTCTTGTAATAAATTCTCCAGTATATTTTGGATTTCTAGTAATTTGGTTTTCTCACAAATATACTGGAAAACAGCGTATATTACACGTGTGTCAAGGTATTTGTAAACTCGTGACGCCTAAATCCTCGCTTGCGGCTCGAGCTTACAGTGACAACTCATTTACAATGACCTGCTTTCCGCCGTAGTAAAACAAAGTAAACAATGTGAAACATTTTATATGTTTTTAGCAATTTTTCAATACGTATCATTTATTTTTATTCGCCGTGGTACTGTATATTTTAATACCAATACTTCGTGGATGGTACGCAATAATATTAATATGGAGTTCTTAGATTTTCGCGATTATTACATTAATTGTTACGTTAATAATAATATTCAATTAATAAATAATTTATATTGTTAAAATCATTGACTTACAATTATATGGACGTCGGGTCCGCGCTAAAAAGTGTCCGAACTTATAGGGCGTTAAAATCGTATACAGAGCGTCATTCACGCTCTAGTCTTCGTTTGTTCGACTGACAGCGAAGCAAGCAAAATTAGACAGTACTGCGACGACATTACAATTTAAATTCAACGTTTTAGCTTTTTCATATTCCTTGACATGTCACTACGTTTAAATAGGTTGACTTGAGACATTTTTTTCGTGGTTTTTGTATTAGACCCCTCGTCCATTTATTTGTAAGTCAATGGTTAAAATGAAATAATTTGTGAAACATCCGTAAATTGGAATGTTATTTGAAAATTTAAAAAATAAGGTATTTAATCAGTAACTTTTTGTTTGGATTAATATTACACATAACTGGTTGATGATTTTAACTATCCCAGTGACCATGGCACCTGTAAAGAGTTTGTTGAAAAAACACGTGATTTAGATGCGAAAAAATAGTTTCATTTCCTATGAGTATAATATTAATATAAAAAAATAATATTACGAGTATTGAATCACAATATGCAAGCAATAATTGTTATTTTTCCAAATTTGATGCGATTTTGATCAAAAAAAATTTTTTTACATCAAAAGACTTGAAAGGTCCTGTAAGGCACTGTCCCTGTGTTCTCAGTTTGGCTTCTTTTTTACACGTCCGGTACAATGGACAATGAAACATCCGTTTGTTAATGGTAAGGGAAAAGTTTTCTCGGTTAGCCGGTATTCACATACCCCTAGAGATCAAACGACGAATTCGATAAACTTCAATTTAATGTGAAGTAGAGAAACTTAGCTTCGCGCTTCCGTACACATTCAATGTCAATTTCGTTTGTGATCTGGACAAGTGGGGCGCAAGTTCCTGTCGAATCCAGATTATCAGAAGTGCAGATGTACAAACAAAAACCCACTTCATGTGTTCTTGCAATCAGCCCTGATGACGGGCGCGGGTCGAAGACGCTTCCTACGAACGAAGATTATGACTATGAATTTACCTTAATAAAACAATATTCAAGTTTGGGAAAGTCTAAAATCACGTATTTAGGTCCAATGCCATCTAGCGCCACAATTCGGAACTACTTCGATTAGTATCATAGGAATTTCTATAACAATTTTGTTACGTTATTATACATACTTTAATAACTAACTTTGTTTACGGTAATACTTTTTCTACAATAGAACAGTATCAGTTTTCATTAATAAGAAATTTTAGGCATCAAGAGAAATGTTATTTGATTCGACACATATGTGGGTAATCGTGGACCCGATGACATACAAGTGCGAGAATGAGAATACCAGAATGAAGTTTGTCGACGGCGTGTTCCAAAATTTAAACTTGAGCGTGGACGCGGACATCGCTGTGGTTGCTTTTTGTGGTAGGAAAACGTAACTTTTATAAAAAAAATTTCGTAAAAATTAAGGAAGAGGTTCTCAATTTGACTATATCTTTTTTGTGTGCATGGCACGGGATTACTGTGAACCGATTTGAAAGAGTGCACTTCACTATTGGTTCCATTTCATTTCATTTATTCATGTTACATTGTGCAAACACATTTATCATTACAGATATAAATCTAATTCGATAATGTCAAATCACTTAATTTTTAAAATAAATTCGTTAATAAATTACTAAATAGCTTTCATTCATAAACATTATAATAAAAATAATAATTTAAACATTTCAATTTCTTATAACTAAATATTCTTCTAACTAATTTAAATATTGCACCTCTAAGGGTAGCGAAATAAGGGATTAATCCTGTTTCACGCACTTTCCTGTAACTGATTCCAATAAAATTTGGCAAATAGATGTAATTCCACGACCTTTGGAGGCCGGTTTTTTATAAAAAAGTTACAATTATTGAATTGTGGTCTTAGTATTCCTTAATCACGTTTCTTTATATTGTTTCCCGTGATGTTTCACCCTCGTTATTTTGCAGGAGACCATTATAAACTCACGGATGTTTTCAATTTCGGCAAAATTCAGGGAAATCATTTAGAGAAAACTCCCCTCGGAGAGTGGAGTCGCGACACTGGTGAATATTTTATAAATAAAGTACGTACCCACACAACGGTACCGCTTTGTCTTGATTTCGTTTTGCAATTTCAGGTTTGAATATCTCGGCGGAAGGATTCAAATATTACCACCGTTGGGATTTTCATAATTTGACGCTGCGAGCCGTCACGGTGGTGAGTCGTAGCGCCCAGTATTTCTTGCTCTTGAATTACTTGATATTCACATTCATACAGAACCAGATAGACTGATGGGGCATTAGATCCCTCAAGCTGGCAGATAACGTTTTAGGAAAGACTACCGCTATATATATCGGTAATCTACACTCTAGTAGTAGTTAAATTTGCTGGGAGTTGTATGGACACATTCTACAACTGTGTGTGATGGTCTCGGGGTTCTAAGAAAGTCTAGGGATTGCTCTTTTCAAATAAACTTAAATGCTATGGGATACACTTTGCATTAAATTTGTGTGGAATCTAGAGTCATGTCGTCTTTCCATATATCTTTATCTAACACGTAGTCTACAATTTTGTAATAATTTCAATTGAAATATTATTAACTTACGAAATTATAATCTTGTAGTTAAAAAGTATACAGTTCCCCTTAAAAGAAACGAAATCGTGGTAACGTGAGTTCCATGTTCGATCTTTCTATCAAGTAATAACAATAAATATCTTTATGTATCTCCACAACACAAAACAAAGGAACATCATAGTAGAAACATATTGTTACATATGGTTTGAGTAACGCATTGTGGGAGACTGGAGCCCAAACTAATAATAATAATAATAATAATAATAAATTTTATTTCCTTCACACACAATTTCAACCATAATTAAACATTCTTAAGTAATAAAACATTTGTTGTCTGTGAAGGCTGGAGCCTAAACTAGGATACCCTATGCTATAGGTCTCCAGGCCTCCGCCTACGGATAAAGTATCAAAAAAACAACATTGACTGCGTCACGAATGATTGCTATGAGAGAAAGTTACTCAAAATTTGGTTTATACAAATCAAAAAATTATAAATATAAATAAAATTGAAGACTAGAGGGCAAGTATTTTGTTGTGTGTGTGTGAGAGTGTATGTTGTGTGTGTGTGTGAGTGTGTGAGTGAGAGTGTGTGTTTGTGTGTGTGGGAATTAACTATAATGGAACATGAAGGAGGTTTTCGGTTTCCTCATATGACAAAGTCAATAGCTTTTTAGTGACCACGTTCTTACATTCAAACTTGTTTAGAGGATAAATATGCAAATCACCATTACATCCGTTATATAAGAAGGGCCCGAGGAAGCCGAAGAAGTGATGGGCAAAGGATGTAGACCACGCCGAATAATGGCACACACGATCACGGCGTCGAAAATTAACTATCCGAGATCGATCGGATAGTTAATTTTCGAAACTAACATAACAACAAAGTAGTATTTTCGCAAAAAATAAATATAGACCATCATGGTTATAAAAAGAATGATCTTTTTATATATATATATTTTATATTAAGTAATATAAATATTGCAATTAAGAGTCTCAACTATAATAACGTAATTTGAAAATTTCAGCATTCAAAGTGATGAAATGATGGCGTTGTATTGGGTAAACCTATGTCCACTAACCGATGTCGCGCATCGTGATGTTGTTAAAGATGATCAATAATGCTCGTCGCGGACTTACGTTACGTAAAAATACGAAAAGTATTCAGCCACTCTGGCGCACGGGGTTAGGTTTACAATAAAATCTCAGCTGATAACTGTAATCCTGAAGAGTCTATACAACCTCAAATGGCTTTGGTTCCGCATAACAGTGAGAGTGTTGAATCAATCATATTTGGAAAAATATATAGTACAATAAAGTATATACACTGATTACCTAGTATACGATGTGAAAACAAGAATCCTAAAAATTTTCACGGCAACGAAATTTTCCTAACAATTTTTTTTATGAATTAAATTTTTATTGAATTGATATTCAATTATTTTTTGTGAAATTACTCCACTAGTTTGTTATAATTATTAATACAAAGATTGAACACTCAGAAAAAATTCTTTCTATCCCATTGACTTACAAATAAATGGACGACGGGTCTAATACAAAACCAATAATACAAAAATCACGAAAAAAATGTCCCAAGTCAACCTATTCGAAATTTAAATTGTAATGTCATCGCATTATCGCGCTGTCAGTAGAACAAATGAAGACTAAAGCGGAGTTTGGCGCTCTGTATACGATTTTAGCGCCTTACAAGTGCGGACACTTTTTAGCGCGGACCCGACGTCCATATAATTGTAAGTCAATGTTCGATCCGGTCGGATTCGAACCAACGTCTTCTTGCATTATTTTTTTTATTCAGAATTTTTTTTTATATCAACTGAACTAAATAAAACACGTACCTACACGATATACATTTTTCAAATCTTTAATTTCGTTTGTAAGGAAATAAATTCTGAAATTAAGCCAGTATACCTGCCACTCGACCGAATGAAAATGAACCGCGGTAGTACTCTTAATAAATGCAATTAAAAATTTTATAAAATACAATTAAAAAATACTTGGCGAGTTCTTAGACTTTCGCGATCGTTACACATAGGAATGAAACTATTTTTTCGGATTTAAATCGCGTATATTTGTGTTTTTCAAACAAACCAACGTTTCAGGCCCTTTTTAGGTCCCACGATCATAAGAGTGACCATGCAACCGTATATTTACGTCACTGGAAATGTGAAACGTCTAACTTCATTTTGAAAATATTACAAAGGAGCTATTTAAAGTAATTTTTTAAGCAAATAAAAATTATAACTCTAATTTTATTTGTTACATGGAAAAACTGGCGCTTTCTACTTTTTCATATTTCGATAAAATAATAAGATTTTTTTTTTCTTAAAAAAATTACTTTAAATAGCTCTCCTGTAATATTTTCCAAATGCACGTTAGACCTTTTGTCTTTCTAGGGTCGATTAGTTTTTCAAATAAATCAAAGTTTCGAACCATTTACGCGATATTGATCCAAAAAAATTGTTTCAAAATTACTTGCATTGAATTCTCATAGCAAAAATTACTAGCGAAGTGATGCAAAAAAGTTCTGGAGTACAAAAATAAACAATACATTACGTATGGTAGATAAGTGTAGTTTGCGTTACATTAAGGTGAGAATGTACAATTTGTGGTTGTGTGGTCAGGTCGCTGAGGGGGGGGCGGAATTTGACCCTGCAATGCTCGAGGAGGTGCGCTACACGCCCGGCATCGCCGCCATGACGAAGGTCGGTGCCCAGATGCTCATCTCGCTCATGCAACACCACAACTTCAGGTTATTTTATGTCTGGTTGTAACAAAATATGAAAAAGACGAATATTGATTTGAGAATAGTAAATGTTCCTTTGCTTATCAAAATAACAAATAAATTTGAAGCGTATCCATTGACTTACAATTATATGGACGTCGGGTCCGCGCTAAAAAGTGTCCGCACTTGTAAGGCGCTAAAATCGTATACAGAGCGCCAAACTCTGCTTTAGTCTTCATTTGTTCGACTGACAGCGCGATACTGCGATGACATTACAATTTAAATTTCGAATAGGTTGACTTGGGACATTTTTTTCGTGGTTTTTGTATTAGACCCGTCGTCCATTTATTTGTGAGTCAATGAGCGTATCCCTTACATTTAAAATGTATATATTGTTGTGAAGTCTGGTAAAAGTCCATGTATCAACCTGGAACAAGAAAAGCAGCACGTAGTGCTAAGGCTCTATCCTTTTCATTAGCATTTGGTTCTATATTTTTTATTGTAAATGTGCTTATGAATTTTTTTTATTATTATGAATTAATTTTTTTATTGCAGGTTTAATTACACAAGTGTTGGACGGTGGTTGGAATCGCCTCGACGAAATTCAACTTTGGTAGGAATTAATAGTTTATGTGTACATCATTCGGAGATATTTTGTGGAAAATGTCATTTATGTGGTTTTACCTTTAAGCAGACGATATGTATATATATAGTTACTGGACATAACGAATTTTCTTTGTCCCTTATCATTTTCACGCCCATAATTAATCGTTTAAATAATACCTAAATACCTATACTGATTAAATTTTAGAGTGAAGATCTATTAAATGAATACTTTAACCACCAGTACCAGGTATTGAAATAATCAACGAATAATAAATATGCAGTATTAGGTAAACATATGCTAGGTCAAAATAAGTGCTGCATTTACTTTTAACACCATTCCTGCTCGCAATACCAGAATCGCCGCAATACGTTTTATATTCGAATGGGGCAATAAAGTGTATAAAAACATTGTCTTGGTTGGAAAGGTTCAATTTTTTCTAATTTTTAATATTAAAATTGAATAGTTATTTAATATAAGCTTGTCGCTTAGATATCTAAAAATATGCTTCGCGCGTTATTCTTCGAACCGCTATTATGCAAGTACTGCATTTACAATTAGCAGGGCTGTACTGCGTAACAAGTCTTTTGCACAGGCGGTGACGAATACACTGTACTGGCGCGAGCAGGACATCGCGTGTACGTGTCTGCGTCTCTACCCCGAGAGGCTAGACTGGGTTGACCCCTTTCTCCCGCAGCTGACGTACCTTGAGTAAGTACTTGTATGACTGGGCACTAATTATGGTTTATTCATACCATCAACCAATAACTCAACAGGACTGTTTATCTCCATACTACTCACTGTAACTTTGAAAAAGTTCCGAAAAAGTTTCAAAATTCCGTCTTATATGTATCTAAACGGCGCTGACCTGGAAGTAGTTCAGTAGTTTATGTAAATGACTGTGGATATCAATTATTTTGTGGATATTGTGAAATATAAATAAATACTTTTTTCAAATATTGACCATGTGTTAAAATTATTTTCTGAAGTTTGATATTGATCAATAGATGGCATTGTGTGTTACGAACTAATTTACAAGTTAACGCTTGCTAATACGAGTAGATGGCGTTAATCTTAACCAAAATAAACGGCAACTATTGAATTAGTTGGCAATATCCATAAAACTCTGTGCAAAAAGCGCCATCTAGTTGATTTGTCTGTTATCACAAGAAATTAGAGTAGCTGTAGTAGTAGTTGATAAATTGCAGCTCTTCAATATAAAACAAGTTAATTAGAAAAATGGCTATTTGATACTTATCGCGACATCTGGTGTACTGTACTAAACACCCGACCAAACTGTCTTGTATCGCAATAACAATCTTCTGGATTTGGTCCATGATGTTATTTCATCCATCTTTTCCACAATACTCAGGACGAAGGTGTACTACTTGATTCCGGACAAGGGCGTAGGTAATTATGAGAACCGTTTCCTGACGCCGCTGTCGGCCGGGGTGTGGTGGAGCACGTGCGTGGTTGGACTGCTCTGCATCGTGGTGCTTACTGGAGCTGCAACTATCGAAGGTCGCCCCAATCCTGGAATTTACGCGCTATGCAGCGTCGTTGCTGCTGCGTGTCAACAAGGTTCGGAATTACTCAAAAAGTGACTTCCCTGGGATCTGCGGTAAAAATGGGTGTTCCGCAGGGCTCAATACTTGGACCGTTCTTATTTCTCATTGATATTAATGATCTACCATTCTTTGCTAAGGACATTTGCGAAATAGTATTGTTTGTTGATGACTCTTCCTTGATTTTTAAAACAGACAGACATGGCATTAACTTTGATAATATTAATATTACCGATCGATACCCTTTCAAAGGTAGTTTATTGGTTTAATGTTAACAATTTATTGCTCAATGCCAAGAAGATAAAGTGTGTTAAATTTGAATTACCTAATGTAAAATCGACTAGTCCAATCATAGAAATAAATTGAGAAAAGTTAGACCTTGTTAATAAAGCTGTCTTTTTGGGATTGACCTTAGATGGTAAACTTCAATGGTTTCCACATATATTTTTCTTAGCCAGCAGATTAAGCTCTGCTGCATACGCAGTCCGTAGAATACGTGAGCTTACCAATGTTGCTACTGCTAGACTAGTTTACTTTAGTTACTTCCATAGTATCCTACAGGATTCTCATGTGGGGTAAAGCGGCAGATATATAAACCATATTTGTGTTGCAAAAACGATATACTATTTAGATTCTCGGGTTTCTCTTAGACAAAAGTTTAAGGAGACTAGTATCATGACTGTGGTATCATACATAGTACATTTAATCAAATATTTTATATGCCCGTAAAAAAATATACATAATTTCATTAAGAAAGAAGATATCCATAATATTAAACTTAGAACTAAGTCCAAACTCATGGTACAACGATTTCGTTTAACTAAGGTAAACGATTCTTTTATGGGGAACTGAATACGTTTTTACAATAAGATTTCGGAGATAAATATTAAGATTATCATTTCCTAAGTTTAAAACTTACATCAAAAGTATTTTAACTGAAAATTAATAGTACAAAATTGAAGAGTATGTTTTAGATAAAGAAGTATGGAAAGACAACAAGAGTCTAGATTGTACACAATTATGATTCAAAGTGTATTCCATAGCATTTAATGGAAAAGAGCAATCCCTAGAGTTTCTTGCTCGTTCTTCTCAGGGAGGTCAGCGTAATGAACGAGCAGTAGCTTAAAAAGTGTCTAAAAAAATGTCAAGTGTAAAAATTTTACCTACGGAATAAATGATTATTTGACTTTGACTTATTCCTGTTGTAGGCTATCGGGAAAATTATGTCACTACCTGCAAAAAGTAACTTGGTTTTATTTTTTTCAGCTTACGAAGATGGAATTCAGTTAATGTCCAAATCAATTTCGACTCAAGGTAAGTCAGCGGGCCAACAAGAACACCGTTGCAGCGGCTTTTCTTTGAGAAATGTAATATATTAGTCTTACCCAAACCTTCATTCTAAGGTGGGCAAGCACATACAGTGCAGCGTCAATTTTTACTGTGAAACCTATACGGTGAAAAATACATCTTGACTTTATCACTTGATTGTGGCAGGTCGTCGCGCGACACTGCTCGTGGTGGGCTTGACGAGTTTGGTACTGTATACCTTCTACACGAGCAGCGTGGTGTCGTGGCTACTGAACGCCGTCCCACCTAACATTGCTTCACTCGATGGCCTCATTCAATCCGACCTCGAACTTGTCTTCGAGGACGTCGGCTACACGCGCAGCTGGCTCTTTGTATGTCTCTCTAATAGTAACAAAAATTAGTAACTAAACTTTTGTACTTTCTAAACAATTACTACTGCAAAATACAAGCGATAGAGTTTTGTCTAAGTTAATTGCAATCTTGCAGAGTCCAGGAATCTACTATTACAGTGGTTACAAGAATAGGAAAGAAGACGAACTCAGGGAAAAGAAAGTGACTAATTCAAAAAGAACAGTTCCTTTGCTGCAGTCGCCAATTGACGGCGTTGAACTTATAAGGACTGGAGGTATCTCGAACATGAATTTGAATTTTATAACATAACATGTTTTTGGATTTTCAGTAGTATTTTATGTTTCGTCAACACTTAAAGAACACAGGATCTTTGGATCTGAACGATTGGTAGTCTATATTTTTTGAATAGTCAACGTCTTAATTATAACATTTTTGTATACTTTTTCTTTTGAGTTCAGTAATTGTAGTGTGTATTTGTCAGCGTATGCGTACCATTCGGAACCGTACACGGCAAGTCAAGTGTTGTCGGTCCGTCTGTCGGCGCGCGAGCTTTGCGACTTGGGCACGCTGCAGGTCATGCCGCCTTCCCATGTTTACATTGTGGGCCAGAAGCGTAGCCCCTATAAGCAGTTCTTCTCCTGGAGGTATACTTACACATTGTACAGTTTTAATTATTGCACTAAAAAAGGACGTGTGCCAAGCAAAGCTTGCCAAACATCGTTACAAATGGAGATATGTTTTATATGCCTAGCAAGAACGATATGCATTAGGAAATTATTTTTTTGATACATTCTGCAGTACAATCCGCAGATTCGACACTATAAGAATTTGACATTATATATGTTTTTACTTTTGAGGGACTCACAATGTCAAAAGCTCGGATTGTTCAATAGAGCGAAGCAATATTTCTCACCGGGTCACCGAATTCTGTTGTATAATTGAGTTCCCAAATATCAGCTTGATCCACTTGACTCCATCTAATGTAGGGGTGTTAATATTATCGATGATCCCAAACTCACAGACGGTATGGAGTCCCTTAGTCTACGGAGAGACGTTGGCTTTCTGAGTGTGTTCTATCGTCTTTACAACGGGGAGGAACTTTTTGAACTGGTGCCACCGTCTCGTTTCTACTATCGCACCTCTCGCTAAAGGAGTAGAGCCCATCCCCACATCATAGATGCCTGGCATTGAAAGACCACACGGGCATTATGTTCGTTCCTTCCTCGAACGGGCAACATGTGGAACGATCTTTCTCCTAAAGGATTTTCTTTGCGCTATGACATGGGGTTCTTCAAAATGTGTGTCAACAGGGCTTTCAAAGGTTGGCAACGCATAGGTAGCTCATCTGATGTTGCAGATATCCATGGGCGACGACAATTACCTCCCATCAAGTGGTTAGTCTGCTCGTTTGCCTCCTACTGTCTTTCCTTGACGCAGCCTGATGCGGATGTCAGAGCGGGGGCACGCGTCAGCAATTCGCGCGCGTCTGCGAGGCGCTGCTTCCGCTTGTTCAGGCACCGTGCCGCGCGCGCTCGCCCTCGGCCAGGCCGCTCCCGCCTTCGCCTTACTCGCCGAGGCTTCACTCTTCGCCCTCCTGCTGCTCGCCTTTGAGATCCTGTGGCATAAGTTTCGTAGGTGAGCAAAACAGATTACTACGAGGTATTAATTCGAGTTCATTCGGAAACAAATATATTACTTACTGCTACATTTACTTAGGTACGTACTGTTTGAGAAGAGTTCGTCTAGGGTAGTCCTGCCACCGCAGTCACCGCACCTATTTCTACTGCCAAGCGGCATTGTGAGAGCTTATGTCTCAGAGTGACGAGCGCAGTGCCACTCAGGTTTTCATTATAAAGCTCTGGACGGCACTGTAACTGTTATAGGTAGGCGTGTTGATAACATAAAAAAATATAAGACTAGATTAAAACAAACAGAGTAAAAAAACGGTGTTTTTCCAAAAGTGACACAACGATAGATATAGAATAAAATGAAACTGTCATTGGATCGGCAACGACAACAAAATAAATTTTGCGCAGTTATCTGCAAAGTCAATCGTTTGCAGAGGGATTTGATAAACGACATTCGACCGATTTCACGTTGATGGCGTGCCAGAGGAGTGGTGCAAAAAATGCTGTCAACCGGCCATAATCATAACCACGCACATGGCGCACTTCGGACAACAGCCGCACAAAAAACCAACAAAGGAAGATCTTTGACGGGAGGCGCTTGTGCAGTTGGTGTCACGATGCCGGGGTCTCCATACCTGTGCCTCATCGTCACAGAGTATTTTGCTTTGTTACACCTGTAGTTTTTTAGCTTTGTAGACTACTTAAAATTATACACTTAATAGTATTTAGATATCAAATGTGTAATTATTAATGGCAAAGAGCGGATATCCTGAAAAGAGAATCCATCTCGAAGCTTCGGAGATTTAAAAAAGTTTATTATGCAAAAGTATGCATAAGAATTAACATCAAAATGCAGTTAAATCATAAAAACAATGAAGACATCAAATCACAGATAAACACTGAAACAATAATAATAAAAACAACAAACGCCATAACACTACTTATTGTAGAATAAGTAGAAGGTAGCGATATCATTTGCTTGTGTTAAAGCAACCAGAGGTGTGATATCCATTTTGATTTAAAATTTTTACCCAGGTCGTGAGTAAGAATCATAATATTACAATTTTACTGATATTTTTTATTAAAACAAAATTCACACTTACTGTCTACAAATTGAAATAAATACTAAATTATAGTATAAAATTGACAAATATTAGTTGCCTTGTATTTTATCAAATAAGGCTTACGAACATTTAAAGCCGTCAAGCAGTAATGTTAGCATTACTGTGTTCCGGTTTTGAAGGGTAAGGGTGCTGGTGAA